TGTATGTATAATGTACCACTAATGTTGAGTGATTTTATGCTAATTAATAAAAAGCATTGAGGGGGTGTACATATAAAAATTTTCCCAATACTAAATTTGAAGTCTTGTTTTATAGATTACTAGAATGCGTAAAAGCCTAAATTGGATTCCATGCTTTTGGGGTTTGTCATGGAATAGGAAAATTTAGGTGGGGGGAAGGGGGGGTTTGATAGAAGTATAGGTTAAAACGGTATTAATTATGTCTAACTAACATTAACTAATATGTCTTAAAGATCATTAATCTTACTGTTGACAGTAATGGTATTAGTGGATCAGTGAAGCTTGAATTGAAAAGTCCAGCTAGACTGTAAGCTGACCTTCATGCCTTGACGGCTATGGTGAGTCACAGCATCCCGAAAATTAAAAAATACCAGAGGCACCTGACTACAGTTATGTTGATCATGGGCTGATTAGACGCTGTAACCATCGAGATGTCTTATTTAAGGGGAACGTATGGACAATAAAACATTCAATGGCCCTGAAGCAAGAACCAGATGCCTGATAAAGTTCAAAGTTAGTGAGCCCCAAGTTTAATGGGCCCGGAGCGAGAAGAGGTATACTAGTGGGCGGGTTGCTGATTTCACGGAGGATGGTAGATTAATAGACCAATTGGGGAAGGGGATAGTCATTTGGACAAGCAGGGTTATGACAATATGGTGTATGTAAGATAACGCAGATATGTCTATATTACATTAATATAATTTTACTTGCTTAATACTCATATTGAAGTTAATTATAATGTAATGTATAAATGAATGTTTTAATTCATTAATTTATATTACATGCTTATATGCTAGTGGAATATAATTTAATGTACGATATACATAAATGTACTAATGTACTAAATAATTTTATGTACAAGAAGTAGTTTAAATAGAATATCAGCTTTGGGTGTTGATGGCGGGGGTTAGTCCTTCCTTCTTGATGCTCTGAGAAGATGTTTTCTTCATTTTTGGTTTACAAGACCAAGGTAATTAGTTATACTATCAGGGCAATGGGTGAATTTTAGTATGTTGTTCTCAATCATTCCTGCTACGGGTATTAAGATAATAATAATGGTGAAGTAGCTGATTGAGGCTAGCTGTCCAATTATAACGAATGGGTGTTCAACGGGCTGACCTCCAATTCATGTGAGGATAAAGAGGTTAGCTACTAGAATTCAGAATAGGGTTTGGGAGATAGGTCGAAATATTAATCCTCGTTGTTTTGAGGTTTGTAGTAGAGGTAGGAGGGCTAGGATTAGGATTGAGAGGACTAGGGCTATTACTCCTCCTAGTTTATTGGGGATTGAGCGTAGGATGGCGTAGGCGAAGAGGAAGTATCATTCTGGTTTAATGTGTGCTGGGGTATTAAGTGGATTTGCAGGAGTGTAATTATCGGGGTCTCCGAGAATATCTGGGAAAAATAAAACCAAAATTATGAGAACTATTAATAGTAGGAGGATTCCTAAAATATCTTTAATAGTGTAGTAGGGGTGAAATGGAATTTTATCTGCGTCTGAGTTTAGGCCTGATGGGTTGTTAGATCCTGTTTCATGTAGGAATAATAGGTGGACTACTACTAGGGCTGTGATGATGAAAGGTAAGATGAAGTGGAATGCGAAGAATCGTGTTAGGGTTGCTTTGTCTACTGAGAATCCTCCTCAGATTCACTCTACCAAGGTTGTTCCGATATAGGGGATAGCTGATAATAGGTTGGTAATTACTGTGGCTCCTCAAAAGGATATTTGTCCTCATGGAAGTACATATCCTATGAATGCTGTTGCTATTACAGCAAATAATAGTACAACTCCAATGTTTCATGTTTCTATGAATGTGTATGACCCATAATATATTCCTCGTCCTACATGAAGGAATAAGCAGATGAAGAATATTGAGGCTCCGTTTGCGTGTATATATCGGATAAGTCAGCCGTAGTTGACGTCTCGGCAGATGTGTGTTACTGATGAGAATGCTGTAGTTGTGTCTGATGTGTAGTGTATGGCTAGAAATAAGCCTGTTAGGATTTGAATTATTAGGCATACTCCAAGTAGGGATCCGAAGTTTCATCATGATGAAATATTGGATGGGGCTGGGAGATCAATGAAGGATTCATTGATGATTTTAATTAATGGGTGTTTTTTTCGGATGTTTGTCATTAAGTGTTTCTATAGTTGAATTACAACGATGATTTTTCATGTCATTGGTCATAGTTAGAGTCTATGTAGGAATTATGACAGAATATATTTTTATTTTAAGTTCATTTATTGCGCTAGGGTGCTTAGGCGTATCATTGAAGCCTTCACCTATTTATGGGGGTATGTGTTTAATTGTTAGTGGGTGTTCTGGTTGTTTAGCGGTGTTAGGGTTTGGTGGATCTTTTTTAGGTGCTATGGTGTTTTTAATTTATTTAGGTGGTATGTTGGTTGTCTTTGGGTATACGACTGCTATGTCTACGGAGGAGTTTCCTGAGACTCTAATGTCAAGTTGATCGGTGTTTGGTGCGTTGATAACGGGTATTTTTATGGAGATGGGTGTAGTTTATGCTTCTAATGAGTATAATTTAGTAAATTCTGTGTTAGTACATAATAGTAACACAGGGGGTTGGGTGGTTTATGATAGTGATGAGCTAGGGTTAATGGGAGAGGGGGGTGCTGGGGTGGCTGCCTTGTATAGTTGTTCTGCATGATTGATGGTGGTGTCTGGGTGAACTTTATTAATGGGTGTTATAGTTATTATTGAGATTGTTCGAATTAATTAGGTAATAAATAGGATGGGAATAGATAAAAATGTAATTAGAAATGATAGGAAATATAATTTAATAAGACCTTTTTGGTTAGCTAGGTTTTTTGAGGCTGTTGTTTGTAAGGTAGAGGTGGTATTGGGGATAGTTTTTTCTAGTCAGACTAAGTCTAATAATTGTAGTGATGTGTTGAAGCTTTTTGTTAATATTTTTAGTGGTAGGAGTCGGTGTATGATTAAAGGGTAATACCCAAGTGATGTTGAGAATGATGATGATGGTGTTGGCTTATTTATTACTAGGTTTGAAGTTAGATTGTTAAGTTCTAATGCGATAATAAATCCTGAGATTGTTACAATTATAGCTGTGGTTTTTAGGTATCATGGCATAGTTATGATTTGAGTAGTAGTAGGTGGAATATTTTGTGAAATAAAGAATCCTGCTAGGATACTTCCTAATGCCAATCGTTTAATCGGATTTATTAGTTTAGGGTTGTTTTCATTAATAATAATTATTGGCGGGAATCGTGGTTTAGTCATAGAGACAAAATAAATAATTCGTATACTATAGACGGCTGTTAAAGAGGTGGCAATAAGTGTGATTAGTAGGGCTCAGGCGTTGGTATAGCACGTGTTTGCGGCTTCGATGATTAGGTCTTTTGAGTAGAAGCCTGTTAGGAAGGGTATCCCTGTCAGGGCTAGGCTGCCAATTATTAGGCATGAGGAAGTAAATGGTATGGGTTTAGTCAGGTTTCCTATTTTTCGAATATCTTGTTCGTCGTTTAGGCTGTGAATAATCGATCCAGAGCATATAAATAGTATTGCTTTAAAGAATGCATGGGTGCAGATGTGAAGGAAAGCTAGATATGGTTGATTGATCCCGAGTGTTACTATTATTAGTCCTAGTTGACTTGATGTGGAAAATGCTACGATTTTTTTAATATCATTTTGTGTTAGTGCGCAAATAGCTGTAAATAGGGTTGTGATTGATCCTAGGCATAATATTATAGTTAAAATAAGGTTGTTGTTTGATGTGATTGGGTGGAAGCGTACTATGAGAAAAATTCCTGCTACTACTATTGTGCTAGAATGAAGTAGGGCTGATACTGGTGTTGGACCTTCCATAGCTGAAGGTAGTCATGGGTGTAGTCCGAATTGGGCTGATTTTCCTGTGGCTGCGATTAGGAGTCCTATAAGGGGGGCGATGTTTGTTGGGTCATTGGTTATGAAGATTTGTTGTAGTTCTCAGGAGTTGGAGTGTAAGCAGAATCAGGCTATTGTTAGGATAAATCCAATGTCTCCAATGCGGTTGTATAAGATAGCTTGTAGAGCTGCAGTGTTTGCATCTGTTCGACCGTATCATCAGCCGATTAAAAGGAATGATATAATACCTACTCCCTCCCATCCGATAAATAGTTGGAATAGATTATTGGCTGAGGTTAAAATAATTATTGTAATAAGGAATATGAGTAGATATTTAATGAATCGATTTAGGTGGGGGTCTGAGTGTATATATCAGGATGAGAATTCTATAATTGATCAAGTCACAAATAATGCTACTGATAGGAAGATAATACAAAAGAAGTCAAATTTTAGGCTGACAGATAATTTTATAGTGTTAATTGTTATTCAGTGTCAGTTGGTGATTAGTATATCGGTGTTGGATGAGAAGAATGTAGTTAGTGGTACTAGGCTTAATAGGAAAGCGTATTTGATTGACAGGGTTACGTAATTTGGGAAATTAATTGATTTGATTAAGTTTGTTATTGATAATATAATAGGAAATGTCAGTAGAAAGAAAATTAGAAGGATTGAAGATGTGATAGTATTTATTACTTTTATTTGGAGTTGCACCAAGTTTTTGGTTCCTAAGACCAACGGATTACTTCTATCCTATAAAAGTAAGAAAGCCATGTGTTTGTACATGGTGGCATGAATTAGCAGTTCTTGCATTCTTTCTCGGTAAGTAAGGGGTTTTATTCCCTATTTCCAGATTCACAGTCTGGGGTTTTATTATAAACTATATTTACATATTGTTGGCCCTATAATTAATTTAGGGTTAATAGTTAATAGAATTAGGGGTGTAATATGTAGTATCATTAGGGTAAATTCTCGTGTGTGTGATGGTTGTAGGTTAATTATATGGCTTGTAAGCTTCCCTCGCTGTGTAGTGATAATTATATATATTGAGTAAAGCGAGGTAATTAAGATATTGCCGCCTAGAAGTAGAATTGTTGGGTAGGATCAGGAGAATAGGGATACTGTGATTAATAGCTCTCCAATTAGGTTGATAGATGGTGGCAGAGCTAGGTTTGCTAAGCTTGCTAGTACTCATAGGGTGGTTATTAATGGAAAAATAGTTTGTAGTCCTCGAGTTATAATTATTGTTCGGCTATGAATACGTTCATAATTAGTATTCGCTAGGCAGAATAATAAGGACGATGTTAGGCCATGGGCAATTATTAGTGTTGTGGCTCCTATAAAGCTTCATGGTGTTTGGATTATGATGGCTGCAATAACTAGTGCTATATGGCTTACTGAAGAGTAGGCGATTAGAGATTTTAAGTCTGTCTGTCGTAAGCAAATAGAACTAGTTATAATTATTCCTCATAGTGATAGGAGGATGAATGGGTAGGCTATGGTTTTGGTTACTGGGTCTAAGATTATAGCAATTCGTATTATACCATACCCTCCGAGCTTTAGTAGAATAGCTGCTAGGATTATAGATCCTGCAATAGGGGCCTCTACGTGTGCTTTAGGAAGTCATAAGTGGACTCCGTATAGTGGTATTTTAATTATAAATGCTATTATACATGCTAATCATAGAATATTATTGGACCATGTTTGGTCTAGGGGTGTGAAGGTGAGTGGGAATAGTATGAAGTTTAATGTTCCTTTTATATTTTGAATGTGGATAAGGGCGATTAGTAGTGGGATTGATCCAATTAGGGTATAAAATAGAAAGTAGAGTCCTGCATTTAGTCGTTCTGTTTGGTTACCTCATCGGGTGATGATAATAAGGGTGGGGATTAGGGTGGCTTCAAATAAGATGTAAAATATAATTAGTTCGTTTGCAGAAAATGTTATGATTAGAAGAATTTGTAGTAAGACTAGTATTGAAATGTATGTTTTTTTGTTTAACTCTGTTTCCTTTTTTATGTGGTTTTGGCTGGCTAGCAGTATGAGTGGTAGAAGTCATGTTGTTAAAATAATAAGAGGGGAGGATAGGGAGTCAGTTGAGAATAGTAGCGAGAAGTTTAGATTATTTATGTCGTTTTGTCATAAAAACATAGCTGAAGTCAAGCTGATTATAAAGCTGTAGGAGGTAACATTGATTCATAGGTTTTTTTTGTTTGATAATCAGGTGAGTGGGAGTAGTATGATAGAGGGAAAAATAATTTTTAACATTGAAGTAGGTTTAGGTTTTGCACATAATCTGTTCCGTAGGAGTTTGATACTTTTGCTAATAGGGCTAAGCCAATGGCTGCTTCACATGCTGCGAATACTAGAATAACAATGGGTAGAGGGTATATAATTATTGAGTGGGAATTAAGGGATGTAATTGTGGTTATAATAAACAGTGATAGTATTATTCCTTCAAGGCATAGGAGAGTTGATATTAGGTGGGATCGAAATACTAGTGTCCCTAGAAATGAGAATGAGAATGCTAATATAATATTGGAGGTTACAGATGACATTTTTGGTAATTATAATATATATCATAATCTAATGAGTCGAAATCATTTGTTTTAATTAAACTAATTACCAGTTATTCAGTTCATTCTAGTCCTTTTTGTAGTCACTCGTAGGCTAAGCCTAATGCTAATACGGAGACTAGGATGAAAGCTGTTAATATTATGATGTTAATATTATATATTTGGATAGCTCATGGTAGTGGAAGTAGAAGTGCAATTTCTAGGTCAAATAGTAAGAAAGTGATTGCTACTAGGAAGAATTTTATTGAGAATGGGAGGCGAGCAGAGCCTATGGGGTCAAATCCGCACTCATACGGGTTTGCTTTTTCAGTATATAAATTAAGTTGGGGTAGTCAGAAGGCAATGGTGATTAGGAGAATTGATAGAGTAATATTTACTAGTAGGGCTGTTAGTATATTTATTACTTTCTTCTAGGTTAAGTCTAGATCTAACTGATTGGAAGTCAGTTGTACTTATTATACTAAGAAAGTATGATCCTCATCAATAAATAGATACATATAGGAATAATCATACTACGTCAACGAAGTGTCAGTATCATGCTGCGGCTTCAAATCCGAAGTGATGCTTAGATGTAAAGTGGTATTTGAGTTGGCGTAGTAAGCATACTATTAGGAAGGTGGTCCCAATAATTACATGGAGGCCGTGGAATCCAGTTGCTATAAAGAATGTAGACCCATAAATTCCATCTGAGATAGAGAATGGGGTTTCAAAATATTCTGAGGCTTGAAGAATAGTGAAATAAATTCCAAGTAGGATTGTAATAATAAGAGCTTGATTTATATTATTGCGTTTTCCTTCTATTAGGCTGTGGTGAGCTCATGTGATGGATACTCCGGATGCTAGAAGTACTGATGTGTTAAGTAAGGGAACTTCTAATGGGTTTAATGGGGTGATTCCTGTAGGAGGTCAGCATCCCCCTAAGTCATGGGTTGGTGCTAGACTAGAGTGGTAGAAGGCTCAGAAGAATCCAGCGAAGAAGAAGACTTCTGATACGATAAATAGGATTATTCCGTAGCGAAGTCCTTTTTGTACAATTGGTGTGTGGTGGCCTTGATAGGTCCCCTCTCGTACAATATCTCGTCATCATTGATATATTGTTAGGATATTTGCTAATAAACCAATAGTTATTAGGGTGTATGAATTATAGTGAAATCATATTACTAAGCCTGATGTAAGTAGGAGGGCTGAGAATGCTCCTGTTAGTGGTCATGGGCTTGGGTTTACTATGTGATAAGCATGGGTTTGGTGGGTCATTATGTGTTGTCATGTAAATATAGACTAACTAGTAGTGTAAATACGTAGGCTTGGATAAGAGCTACAGCGAATTCTAAGATTGTAAGTAAGGCTAGGATAATAAAGGTGATGGAGGCAGTTGGAGGACTGATGCTTGTTAGTACTAATGTTGCTCCGCCAATTAGGTGGATTAGTAGATGTCCTGCTGTAATATTGGCTGTAAGTCGCACTGCTAAGGCTATTGGTTGGATAAATAAGCTAATTGTTTCAATAATAATAAGTATTGGGATTAAGGAGATGGGGGTTCCTTGCGGTAGGAAGTGGGCTAATGAAGATTTTAATTTATGGCGGAATCCTAGAATTACGGCCCCGGCTCATAATGGGATAGCCATTCCTAGGTTTATTGATAGTTGTGTTGTTGGGGTGAATGTGTGTGGTAGGAGGCCTAATAGATTTGTTGACCCAATAAATATTATCAGTGATACTAATATTAATGATCATGTGCGTCCTTTTGGGGTGTGAATAAGTATTATTTGTTTAGTAATAAGTTTTACTAATCAATATAAAAATGAGAAGTAACGGTTTGTAACTAGGCGCTTGGAGGAAGAGAGAAGTATTGATGGGAGTATAATAATAAATACAACGATAGGTAGTCCTATTATTGTGGGAGTAATGAAAGAGGCGAATAGATTTTCGTTCATTTTGTTTCTCATGGGTTATCAGTTTTTACCATTTCTGTGGATTTGATTGAGGGGCTAAGTGGGAAGTTGATTGTGGAGATTTTTAGTTGTATGAGTACGAATAGTGTAATAATGGCAGATAGAATAGTAATAAATCATGTAGATGTATCTAGTTGTGGCATACCACTGTGGAAAAATGCTATTTTCTGACTTTAACTTAAAAGGTTAACGCTTTAAGCTTCACAGTGTTATTAAATTATTGATGAGGATCAGTTCTCGAAGTGTTTTAGTGGCACTATTTCTAGAACAATAGGTATAAAGCTGTGGTTTGATCCGCAGATTTCAGAACATTGGCCGTAAAATAGCCCAGGTCGGTTAGATGAAATTGTAGCTTGATTTAGTCGGCCTGGGATGGCATCTGTTTTTAACCCCAAGGATGGGACAGCTCATGAGTGAAGTACATCTTCTGATGAGATTAATATTCGAATTGGTAGTTCTATGGGTAGTACAACTCGGTTGTCTACTTCTAGCAGGCGTAGTTCTCCTGGCTTTAAGTCATTTGTTGGGATTATGTACGAGTCAAAGCATAGATCTTCATAGTCTGTATATTCATAACTTCAGTATCATTGATGACCTATTGTTTTTACTGTTAGCGCTGGGTTATTAATTTCATCTATTATGTATAGAATTCGTAGGGATGGGAGTGCGATTAGGATTAAGATAACGGCTGGGAGAATAGTTCAAATTGTTTCAACTTCTTGGGCATCCATAGTGCTAGTATGGGTTAGTTTTGTAGTTAATATAAGTGTGATGATATATAATACTAGTGAGCTAATTAGGAAAACAATTATTAGGGTGTGATCATGGAAGTTTGTTAGTTCTTCCATAATGGGTGATGTGGCATCTTGTAAGCCTAGTTGAAATGGATAAGCCATATAAGATATATAGATTATATTCTATAATTTAACTTTGACAAAGTTATGTAATTGTTTTACTAATATCTCATTGAGAAAGACATAGAGGTTATGGGATTGGCTTGAAACCAGTTTAAGGGGGTTCGAATCCTTCCTTTCTTATTTAACTTTTACATAGGTAGGTTCTTCGAATGTGTGGTATGGTGGAGGGCAGCCGTGTAGTCACTCTAAATTTGTTGATGAGTATTCTACTGATAGGACTTCGCGTTTAGAGGCAAATGCTTCTCAGATTATGAAGATTATTACTAATACAGCGGTTAGTGAAATAAATGATCCTATTGAAGATACAGTGTTTCATGTGGTATAAGCATCTGGGTAATCAGAGTACCGTCGTGGTATTCCTGAGAGGCCTAAGAAATGTTGGGGGAAAAATGTTAAATTAACCCCTACAAATATGATGGCAAAATGGGTTTTAGCTCATGTGTCATTGATAGTGTAGCCTGTGAATAATGGGAATCAGTGGACGAATCCTGCCATAATAGCAAATACGGCTCCTATTGATAATACATAGTGGAAATGTGCTACTACGTAATATGTATCGTGAAGTACGATGTCTAGGGAGGAGTTAGATAGTACGATTCCTGTTAGCCCACCTACTGTGAATAAGAAAATAAATCCCAGAGCTCATAGCATTGCTGGCGATCATTTAATATTTCCTCCGTGGAGGGTGGCTAATCAGCTAAATACTTTAACTCCTGTTGGAATAGCAATAATTATAGTGGCTGATGTGAAATAGGCTCGTGTGTCTACATCTAATCCGACTGTGAATATATGGTGGGCTCATACAATGAATCCTAAAAATCCAATGGATATTATGGCTCATACTATTCCTATATAGCCGAATGGTTCTTTTTTACCAGAGTAATATGTGACGATATGTGAAATAATTCCAAACCCCGGTAGAATAAGAATATAGACTTCTGGGTGACCAAAAAATCAGAATAGGTGTTGATATAGAATAGGGTCACCACCTCCAGCAGGGTCAAAGAAAGTTGTGTTTAGGTTTCGGTCTGTTAGAAGTATAGTAATTCCTGCGGCCAGCACTGGTAGGGATAAAAGTAGGAGTACAGCTGTAATGAGGACTGATCATACGAACAATGGGGTTTGATATTGTGTTATAGCTGGTGGTTTCATATTAATAATAGTTGTGATAAAGTTAATTGCTCCTAGAATTGAGGATACACCAGCTAAATGGAGAGAAAAAATAGTAAGATCTACTGATGCTCCAGCATGTGCTAAGTTACCAGCTAATGGAGGGTATACAGTTCAACCTGTACCTGCTCCTGCTTCTACTATAGATGATGCCAGTAACAGGAGAAATGAGGGGGGTAGAAGTCAGAAGCTTATATTATTTATTCGTGGGAATGCTATATCGGGGGCTCCGATCATTAGGGGTACTAGTCAGTTTCCAAAGCCTCCAATCATTATTGGTATTACTATGAAGAAAATTATTACAAATGCATGGGCAGTTACAATCACATTATAGATTTGATCGTCACCTAATAAGGCACCAGGTTGTCCCAGCTCTGCTCGAATCAGGATACTTAGGGCTGTGCCCACTATCCCAGCTCATGCCCCAAACAATAGGTAAAGGGTTCCGATGTCTTTGTGGTTGGTAGAAAATAATCAACGATTAATGAACATAGGTAAAATGGCTGAGTTAAGCATTAGACTGTAAATCTAAAGACAGAGGGGACCGACCTCTTTTTACCAAGCCTTAAGGTGATATTTCATGTCGAATTGCAAATTCGAAGGTGTAGAAAACTACTCTACTAAGGCTTCTCCCGCCCCCTTTCTGATAGGCGGGAGAAGTAGATTGAAGCCAGTTTAGGGTGTTTAGCTGTTAACTAAAAATTCATAGGTTTAAGTCCTATCAATCTAGATGAGGATTTAGCTTAATTAAAGCGATTGATTTGCATTCATTAGATGTAAGATGTAGTCTTGCAATCCTTAGCAGAAGTTAAACTTTTTGGTTTACTTAGGGCTTTGAAGGCTCTTGGACTTTTTATCCTAAACTTCTTATGTTATTAGTAGTGGGGAGAGAGGAAGTGTTATAGTACTTAGAATGGCTATGGAGGGGAGGATGAAGTTATTTTTGTGGTTGGTGTGGTGTAGTGATATTTTGGAGTTGTTGTTTGTTGGAAATGTGGTTAGTGTGGTTGAATAAATTAGTCGTGTGTAGAAGAATAGATTGATTAGGGCTGTTATTGCTATTAGTGTAGCTAGTATGATGTTATTGTTTTTTAGAAGTTCTGAGATAATGGCTCATTTAGGTAGGAATCCTGTTAGTGGTGGTAATCCTCCTGTAGATAGTAAAATTAGTGAAATTGTTGGTAGTATTATTGGGGTTTTGCTTCATATGAGTGATAAAGAGTTAATGTTGTTGGATGAATTATGTTTTAGTATAATAAATGTTGGTACTGTCAGGCTAATGTAGATTAGTAGGTTTAGTATTGTAAGGGATGGGTTGAATGGAAGTACAGCGATTATTCAACCTATGTGGCTGATGGATGAGTAGGCTATAATTTTTCGTGTTTGTGTTTGGTTAAGTCCGTTTCATGCTCCGATTAGTACTGATAAAATGGCTGATGTTATAAGAATTATTGGGTTAGTTATTTCATATATTTGAAATAGGATTGATATTGGAGCTATTTTTTGTCATGTAAGTAGGATTATACCTGTTTGTATGGGGATTCCTTGGGTTACTTCTGGCAGTCATGCGTGGAATGGTGCAAGTCCTATTTTAATTGCTAGGGAGATAAATATTAGTGTGGTGATTTGGTTGTTTGTTTGGGGTTGTAATGTTCATACTCCTAGTTGTTTGTAGTTGAGAATGATTGATAATAGGAAAATTATTGAAGCTGTGGCTTGGGTTAGGAAATATTTTGTTGCTGCTTCTGTTGATCGGGGGTTTGTATTTTTTGTTATTATTGGGATGATAGCCAGGAGGTTTATTTCTAGTCCAATTCATATTAGGAATAAGTTAGCGCTTAATATAGTGACTATTGGGCCAGATAAAATTGTAAAGTAAATAATTAGAAGTGTGATGGGGTTGATTAGTACGGGAAGGATTTAAACCAACATTTTCGGGGTATGGGCCCAATAGCTTAATTAGCTGACCTTACTGATTTAGGATAGGGTGTTTAGGTAGCACGTAGAATTTTGAATTCTTAGGAATAGGTTCAACTCCTATTATCCTAGAAATAAGAGGATTTAAACCTCTATAATTTACTCTATCAAAGTAACTCTTTTATCAGACATATTTCTAGGTGTATGGTGGAATACTTGCTATGAAGATTGGTACAGAAATGTGTCATATGCATAGGGCTAATGTTAGTGGGAGAAAGTTTTTTCATAGTAGATGTATTAGTTGGTCATATCGGAATCGTGGGTAGGATGCTCGTACTCATAAGAATAGTGTGGTGAGTGCTAATGTTTTTATTATAAAGTTTGTTGTAAATATTTCTGGGTAGTTAGGGTCATTGAATGGGCCTAAAAATACGATTGTTGATAGAGCATTTATTAGAATGATGTTAGTGTATTCAGCTATGAAGAATAGGGCAAATGGGCCCGCGGCGTACTCTACGTTGAACCCAGATACTAATTCTGATTCACCTTCTGTTAAGTCAAATGGGGCTCGGTTTGTTTCTGCTAGGGTTGAGATATATCATATTATTCCTAGGGGTCAAGTTGGAATAATTAATCATAGGGCTTCTTGGGTAAATATTAGTGATTGTAGGGAGAATGATCCGTTTATTAGTAGGACAGATAATAAAATGATTGCTATGGTTACTTCATATGAAATTGTTTGGGCTACTGCTCGTAGGGCCCCAAATATTGAATACTTTGAGTTAGAGGCTCACCCTGACCATAAAATTGAGTATACTGATAGGCTTGATGTGGCTAAGATGAATATAGCTCCTAGGTTTAGGTTAATTAGTGGGTGTGGTATTGGTATTGGGATTCACAGACTGAAGGCTAGTGTAAGTGATAGTGTGGGGGCAATAATAAACAGGGATGTTGATGTTGCTAGTGGTCGTAGGGGTTCTTTGATAAATAGTTTTATTGCATCTGCGAATGGTTGTAAAATACCGTATGGCCCTACGATATTTGGTCCTTTTCGTAGTTGTATGTACCCTAAAATTTTGCGTTCTACTAGTGTTAAGAATGCTATGGCAATTAAGATGGGTACTAGGAGGGTTAGGATATTTAATAAATGCACTATTAGGGAGGGGATTTGAACCCCCGGGAACAAGGTTTTAAGTCTTACGCAATTTCCTGACTCTGCCACCCTAATTATGCCTTTGTCTAAGGCATTAATTTTACGAATTTACAAAGTTGAGATTATTTCATGAATTGATTTAGGGGCTCTTGTTTTAAGTAGGCTCCATTTCTCTTATCCTTTCGTACTGGGAGAAATCGTGAATAGATAGAAACCGACCTGGATTACTCCGGTCTGAACTCAGATCACGTAGGACTTTAATCGTTGAACAAACGAACCATTAATAGCTTCTACACCATTGGGATGTCCTGATCCAACATCGAGGTCGTAAACCCTAATTGTCGATATGGACTCTTGAATAGGATTGCGCTGTTATCCCTAGGGTAACTTGGTCCGTTGATCAAAAAAATTGGGTCAATTGGATCCAGGTGCTTAGACTTGTGTGTCTTGGCTATAATCGTTCGGAGGTTTTTTTATTCTCCGAGGTCACCCCAACCGAAATTTTAACTTAAGTTTTTGTGTGTTTGATCCAGTAGGTGGTTTGATTTAAAATGTTAAGTTGTTAATTAAAGCTCCATAGGGTCTTCTCGTCTTATTTTTTCATTCCCGCCTCTTCACGGGAAGGTCAATTTCACTGATTGGAAATAAGAGACAGTTGAACCCTCGTTAAGCCATTCATTCTAGTCCCTAATTAAGGAACAAGTGATTATGCTACCTTTGCACGGTCAGGATACCGCGGCCGTTTAACGTTAGTCACTGGGCAGGCAGTGCCTCTAATACTTGAAATGCTAGAGGTGATGTTTTTGGTAAACAGGCGGGGTTCGTGTTTGCCGAGTTCCTTTTATTTCTTTTAATCTTTCCATTATGCACCCCTGTGTTGGATTAACATGTTGTGTTAGGTGGATTTTATGTATAGATTATTCACCTTTGGTTTGTTAACTAACAATGGTTATCCGGGTTGTTATAATTTTGTGCATGGAGAATGTAATTCTTGTTACTCATATTAACAGTGTCTCATCTATAGATTAATAGATTAACCCAATTATATGTATATAGGAATTTGCTTAAGTAAATTTTGGTATTATTATGTTTTAAATGTTGAGCTTGAACGCTTTCTTTATTGGTGGCTGCTTTTAGGCCAACAATGGTTTTAATATGAGGGTGGCTTATTCACTATTTAAGGGTTTTTCCGTTCCTAAAGAGCTGTCCCTCTTTAGGCTATATTTTAAGCTTACATTTAGATTATGTGTTCTTATTGGTAAACTTAAAGTTGAACTAAGATTCATTATTGGGTAACCAGCTATCACCAAGCTCGTTAGGTTTTTCGCCTCTACCTAAAAGTCGTCCCACTATTTTGCTACATAGACGGGTGCATTCTTAAAATTGCTTTTAGGTAGCTCGTTTGGTTTCGGGGTTTCTAGCTGAAGTTCTTTTAGTTAGATGTTTTCTAGTTAACTCATTATGCAAAAGGTACAAGGTTTAATCTTTGCTTATTTGTGCTTTGCTTGTATTTATTCTTCCCTTGCGGTACTAATCTCTATAGCTCCTATTAAAAGTTTCTTTCTCTAATACTTCTATACAGTAAATGTTTTAATTTATAAATTAGAATAGTTATGTTTGTATTGGGTTAGGGCTGAATAATTGCTCAAAGCGTCCGTTGTTTTGGGAATCTTCTGGGTGTAGGCCAGATGCTTTATGTAAGTTAAGCTACGCTGTGGTTGTTCCAAGCACACTTTCCAGTATGCTTACCTTGTTACGACTTATCTCCTCTCATAAACTTATATTAAATATTATGTATAGGTTTAGTTGGTCATTTAATTTGAGGAGGGTGACGGGCGGTGTGTACGTACTTCATTGCGCTATTCAATTAAGCTCTCTATTCTTAATTTACTACTAAATCCTCCTTTGTCCTTATGTTTCAATAAGGGTATCGTAATGTTCTTTTTAAGAAAATGTAGCCCATTGCTTCCCACCTCATAAGCTACACCTTGACCTAACGTTTTTATGGTGATTCTCTTGCTTACTTTTATTCTTTTTTAAGGTTTGCTGAAGATGGCGGTATATAGGCTGAATTAGCAAGGGGTGGTGAGGTATAACGGGGTTTATCGATTATAGAACAGGCTCCTCTAGACGGATATAAAGTACCGCCAAGTCCTTTGAGTTTTAAGCGATGGCCAGTAGTTCTCAGGCAAATGATTTTGTTATTTAATCTTTAAGGTTTAGGGCTAAGCATAGTGGGGTATCTAATCCCAGTTTGGATCTTAGCTATCGTGTATTAAGTTAATTAGAATTACTTTCGTTATTGGTTTTAATCCCAACGATGAATTTTCACATATTGGTTGGTTTTTAATTCTATTGGTTGTTTCCTATGGACACGTTTTACGCCGTATAATAATTAATTTGGGTTAATCGTATGACCGCGGTGGCTGGCACGAAATTTACCAACCCTTGAGAGGTATAACTTAGTCAAACTTTCGTTCATTGCTTAATTTTTATCACTGCTGAGTCCCGTGGGGGCGTGGCTAGGCAAGACGTCTTTAGCTATATTGTATGTACTTGATGCCCTCTCCCTAGGTTTTGAATAAAGCTTTAGGGGATTTGACACTGGTTTACGGATTTTTGCATGTGTAATTTTACCTCTAACTAATTATAAGGCCAGGACCAAACCTTTTGTGTTTATGGGATAATACTATCCATCTAAGCATTTTCAGTGCTTTGCTTTATTGATAAGCTACATAAGC